CGCTCTTCCCATGGCCGTATCCTGCTGAGTCTGCTTTCTATCCCAGCACACCAGGCACCCTCCTCTCCCCCTTCCCGGCAGCGCGATCCTGGCAGAGCCCAGACCCGGCCCGGGAAGCTCCGGGTTTGGAGCCAAGAGCATTTCCAGGCTGAGAAAGCAGGAGGGTGCAGGTGAGCTCCAGCCGGGTCTGCTCCTCCCTGCTGCTTCTGAGCCCCACAACTAATCTCTGCCTCGTTACTGGAGGAGCAGAGGTCTCCAAGATCATCAAGATCTTAGAAGTTTCACGAAAATCCCCCTCGGGTGGAGAAAATAAAAAGCCACACTGAGAACTCGCTCAGGGACTGCGACACAAGCTCAGCCCTAATTAGCCATCAGAGAATCCACGTAGGTGCTGACTCTGTCCTGAAATGAACACTGGAGGCAGCTACAAGGGGGCACTGAGCTGTGGCTTCCTGGCCAGAGCCCTAAACCCACAGTCCCTCCAGAAGGCAGGGCTGGAGATGAAGTTACCCTCAACACAGGCTCAAAGTCCACGCAGCAGGTGGGGATGGACACCAGGTTACCTTCAACATCAGTCCAAAGTCCACGTAGCAGATGTGGCTGGAGACCAGGTTACCTCCAACACAGGCTCAAAGTCCACACGTCATAGAATCATAGAATCCTAGGGGTTGGAAGGGACCTCGAAAGATCATCTAGTCCAACCCCCCCTGCCAGAGCAGGGTCACCTAGAGCACATCAGATGGCATGAAGCTGGAGACCAGGTTCCCTTCAACACAGGTCCAAGGTTTCCACCCAGGAGATGGGGCTGGATACAAGGTTATGCCGAGCCCAGCTCAGGAGGGGATTGATGGTCCCACCTTGACCTTCAATGGAGCTGCTGGGCAGTGGTGGGGAGGGGCAGGTGAAGCTGCCCAGGGAGGTTGTGGAGTCTCCTTCACTGGAGACATTCAAAACCCACCTGGATGAGTTCCTGTGTGATGTACTCTAGGTGACCCTGCTCTGGCAGGGGGGTTGGACTAGATGATCTTTCGAGGTCCCTTCCAGCCCCTAAGATTCTATGATTCTATGATTGTGTTGGGGCAGAGCTGCTGGTGCCCTGAGGGCTCTACCAAGATGGCAGCAAAGCTTTAGGAGATACCTTTAACCCGAGGATCATTTCCCTTCCTCGTTGTGGTAACATCTGGAGAGGTTTTGCTGCCTTCTGGCTCCTGCTTCGTGCTTTCTGCTGAAATTAGGAGGCTTAGTGAAATTACTCCCTGAGGAGGGGGGGGGGGGAGAAAAAATAAGG